ATATAGTAAAGTAGGCATTAATGAGATGGTAGGCAGCCCGTAGGCAGCACGTATGTTCCAGCAAAATATATAGGCATTTTTCTAGACACGAATATTTCGTCCTGTCCACAGTAATGTCTCAATGTGGATATTCGTACCCAATGAAATTATGTTCCTATAATACGTCAACTGTGTATGAATGCTATCGTATCAATGTCTACATTTACACACACATGTGTTTTATGTGTCTCTCCTATGTTTATTGTGTTCATCTCTACCAGGCGTACCGCAGTTTGAGGCCTACGAGTTCGAGAAACTGTAATACTTGTGTAGCGCCCTCACATTGTTTATACGTTATGTAAGTCTGAGAGAGAGCAGCAAACCAACTCTCAGATGACAAACTTTTCTTATCTTGCATTTTGTACCTTGAACGTTTCTTATCGTCTTGTACCTTGTATCAGAGTCTAAATTTTTGGCCTCATCACAACTCGTCAGGTAATATTGCGGGATATAACGTACTTGTGACAGTTTGTGGAAGGGTTCTGTTCACGCAACAAGCAAGGTCAATAAGGAGGTAGGACGAAATTTATACCCGGTTCTCTCTTTCTTTGTGCTTGGCCTGGAATCAATTAAGTTCATGTGTTGCATGGTCTTTCGGACAAATTGACCTCCGTCTGTGTCTGTACTCAGCAACAAAAATGATTGCATCCGGAACTTGGCATCAGTCCGGTCATCAGGTGTCAGGGTGTGGGGGATGCCAGGGCCCCGCGCTTCAGGAAAGCTGGTGCACTCGTCAGGGATAAAAACCATCAATTCATCTGGGAGAAAAAAGAATTACGTATTTTCTACATATCGGTAGACTCTAGAATCGATTAGTTAAGTCTTGAGAACCCTATAATTGTTATAGTTCCCCCCTCCACCATGGGCCACTTTTGAAACATTTTGAGCGACGCCCTCTTTGCTGTCCCCACAGATGTGTATAAGAGAGTGCCACCATAATTTGCCTCCAATAATGTGCCTGCAAATAACGTTTGATTGCAAATGTGTGGTCTAAAAGCACAATATTTCAATTGGGCCATTAAAATTTAAGATTTTTTATTCTGGGACCCTGACTGAGGTTGGCAAATTACTGGCACCAACACTGCTTTATGGCATTGGCTGTATGCCATAGTACGTTTAAATTCTGTATTTTTTGGTGAATTTCCCCCAGATTTTAAACCAGTGTTTTCAGGGGATTTTTTTTTTTTTTTTTTTTTTTTTAATGTTTCATGTATTTTTTTTACTTGGTAGAGAATTCAGCGGAAGAATAAATCTTCCGAAAATTTTTATTCTGGTGCTTGGTGGGTTTGTAAATTAAAATTTTAGATAGAATTAATTTGATAATATACTCACAAATATACCTCACTTAAAATGTTGCACAATAGCAGGAAATTTTCAATTTCTAGGGAACTTCCTCACTTCAAAGATAATTAATTCACTAACCCTGTTATGAATTAAATTTTTAAATTAATAGGTTGTCAATTATGTAGCTTATCTTTATTGCAAGCCCCCAAAGGGATAGACCAGGCTAGGCTGGCCTAGGCCGAGCTGAGTAGGCCAAGCCATCACGGTAAAAGTGGCCATCATATATAATTGTTGGCCGTCCAAAAGATGGCTGGATGGCGACAGACACTATAGCAAATAAGGAAAGTAAATGTTTGTACAGCTACTCAATGTTTTAACAATGACTGCTAGAAAAAAAATGTGTAACACATACAGTATTTTAATGCCTTCTACAGTAAATTCAAATCTCTCATTTTGATTTCCCCCCCCCCTGCCCCCCCCCCCATTTGAAATTAAAATTGTAAAAAATTAAGAAGACCAAAATAAATTTGCAATCTCTATTTTTTTTAGCTTAACACAGATTGGTGGTTTTCCTATTTTTTATGGCATGTCTTTGTGTTTAACCTCTTTTGCAGGTTTATATATCAGTAATTGAATTAGACTCCTTTAAAGGGAATTTGTTATAATTATAGGAACAATCACAAATTTGACATTATATTTAATTCATTTTTTTAAAATAGTACCACATACTTTTCCAAACTTGAAAATGTAATAATTAATCTTGTTAAGACAATGAATGATTTATAAACTGTGAAATAGTTTGATAATAACAGTAAGCATAAAAGTAGTAAAAGGATGTCTCCTGTAATTTCTTCAGTGTGTGGTTACATGGTTCAGAGTTTTATGGCAATACATTTGACCTTCAACATGAAGTTGGCCCTTCCTGATCATTTGATCACCCGCCATTGGGTCTACTTAAGCATGCGATAGGCTAATATATAGCTTCATCATAGAGTAATTGCTTACAGAATGGTCATTCAACCTGAAGCATGAGAAAATATTGTACACAATTATTCTTTAAAAAGTCATTTGGGAAGCAGAGAGGGAGAACCATTTTAATGAAAGGTTCCCTTATCTCTTTGGATCCTATAACTTACTGTAATATAATGATAAATGTTACTATTATCAGCCTAATTGAGGCTTGCCATTGCGAAACCACCATCAGTGACCAAAACATTAATATTACTTTTTAATAATATGTTTATTCTCCACAATGTAAGCTTTAAAGTCATAGCTGGTCATTTGCTGGAATCAATGGTGTAACGCCTATGCGTTCTAATGCGGCTTTTGCAGGGCCCCCGAATTCTAGGGGCCCCGAAGGTGCCCTACCCATAGGTTCCTCGATCTAGCACCCGGACCAAAAAGGACTTTGTTGTAATGATAAATAAAACCATAATTTGTCTCTGAAATCGACTGTAGGGCATATATCATATTATAATGGTTAAAGAGAAGGGGCTCCGTCGGCCCGACAGGGCCCCACTCTCGGCCCGGGACCCCACCAAATTTGTCAAAAAAAAAATTTTAAATGGAGATAAAAAGAAAATTATACAATTTGAAGTCTGTGAGTGCTATTTTGCGGCCATCTAGACGTTGCCATAGTAATACATTTTCTAATCTCAGCCCCACAAGGGCAACGGCATAATGTGTGTCCGAAACCGACTGTAGGACATCATATTATATCCAGTGGCGGGATAAAGAGTGTGGGGAGGGGAGCTGCCGGCCCGGGGCCACGCTAAATTTGTCAAAATATTTTTTAGCTGGAGATAAAAAGAAAATTCATAATATTGTCTGTGAAGTGCCATTTTCAGGCATCTAAAGGTGCCATATTCATAAATTTTCTTACCTCAGCCCAAACCATGGTGGGTCTGAGGTGGTATAAACTCTCCAACTGTGAAAGTCACTCCCTGGCCTCAATTTTCTGGATGCATATTATATCATTTATTCGTAGTTAAAAATATTTAGAATAACAAGATGCACACCTAAAATCCCACAATGGAATTGGTGACCGGGACCCAAAAAGGGCCCCCAGTTTCAATAATACACAGGGTCCCTGGTTTTCATGGAGAAAATAGTTTTTAATAAAGCCACTTCATTGAGACAGTGAATGCATCGCTTGCACATGCTGCTAAAGTGCCAGATGATGCGTACTATTTGAGTTATAAGCGGTTTTTGTATCTATGCCCCCCTCGGGAGCCTTTATCTGTATATTTATTCCTAATAGTTCTAGTATGCAACATTATTTTCTATAAATAAATATTGTAAATATACCTTTTTTAAGCATTAAATACATGTCAAGCGTGGATCCAGAGTTTACCCTGGCTATCGCACAGATGGGTTCCCAGGAAGAGTCATGAGATGAGAGCTAGCTTGTTTTGTCGCTAGGAGATAAATTTTAGATATTCGAAAAGTTTTTGTTTTCTAGATTCTTTGAAATACACTTCATGCATTATGAGATGTCTATTATTGAATACACTTTGAGTTCATAGTTTTCCCCTACATTGCTATGGTCAATTAATAATTATGATGATGATGATGAGGAAGAAGCTGTGCAAGATTAATTAACAGGTCCTTTGATGTGAAGTGTCAAGCAAGGCCCGTAGCCTAAGTTACGGTTGGGAATTTGGAAACATTATCGTAGTCGTCAAATGTTCAATTCATGCACACAGTCGGACAATAGATGATTTTTGATATTTGTTTTGTATAGAAAGTAATCTAAAACTCTTAAATTTCAGTTCAAGCATTTATTTATCTGTCTGTGGAAAATATAACATATGAATCATACAAAATAAAAAGAATTCAAATAAAATGAAAAATATGTAAAAAACATCTACACTAAATCAAAATGGAATATTCACTGCCTGTTGGATCCAAGTTTTAGCATTGCAGGGGTTCTGAAGGCTTACAGTATAAACTAATCCCTGTAGTTCTGATAGATTGCTGATTAAAATCTATTATATTTAAGATTTTATATTCAGTACATTCTTAAATGTTATGTAAATCTCATATATCCCAAAATTACGTTATATTCATGCACCGAAGTAGAAAGTTTAAATTAATAATTTTGATTGTTTTATGCTGAATGGTTTTTAATGATATTATTACAGTCTAATATGACCACAACATAATGAAGTCCTTTCCTTTAAACTTCTTAAACCTACTAAACTTTGCGTATCTCAATATACATATATATTTCCTTAAATCAAGGAACTCGTTAAATTAGTATAGAGAATTTTGTTTGTCAATCTTAGATATCCAAATTTGAGGAAATTATGTTTTATGCATGCACTGACATGAGAACTTTAACCTAATAACTTAGATATGTATATGTTTTATGTTGTTCGTTGAATGGACTTCTTTTATAATAATATTACAGTCTAATATGACTGCAACATTAGGAAGTCCACTCTGTAAATGTTTAGCATAATATTGTACAGAGAATTTCGATTGTCTATCAATATCATCATGTTAGATCCAAATCATGTTTTATGCAAGCACGACGAGGAAAGAAACGTAATAATTTTGATATGTACGTGTTTTATGTTATGTATTGATTGGTCTTAGTTAATAATATTACAGTTTAATGGCTTAATGTTAATAATATTACAGTTTAATGGTTTAAAATAATATTACAGTTTAATTGCCCCGGAACCCTGAATCCCAACCTGGGGCCCTTAACGGCCCCCCTAGCCCCAATCATCAGTGTTCACGTTTTGCTCGCAACCTGACCATTTCACTTCTCGTGGCTACGGCCCTGCTATGACGGTATTATTTATTTAATAAAATAATATTTAATTTCTATACGATAAAATAATCACTGAGAGAACAGATAATGATGTCAAAATATTGTATATACATGGAGGCTTGATGATCAAAAGTTTTTGGCAAGATTTGGTATGTTGGTCCCTGTCGCTGCTGGGCCGCGGCTTGGTGCGTGGAATCGTAAATAGGCCATGAAGTAAAAAGTGTGCAGAACGCTGTACTAAAGTATACAATACTGCCGCATTTTTATGCTAAATTACTCAGTATTACATTTAACAAAATTGGTAGACTAGTTTTGGGATGGCAGGCCTTAATTATTAATCATTTTTGTAAATATTTTTTGTCATTGTTTTCTATTATGTTTTATTTCAGTGTATGTAGTTTATATAATGAACCAATTATACATTACTGTTATCAGTACTATAATACACATTATTTATATTATAAACAGTCATTTGTTTCAATTTTTTATATTTTTTTATTATTGGCAGGACTGTAGTTACCATGGTATCCCTTGAAGGAAAAGTTTGTATTGTTACCGGGGCAACTAGAGGTATAGGGAAAGGAATTGCCTTACAACTTGGCCAGGCTGGAGCGACTGTTTATATAACAGGTAAGCTTAAAGAGGTTACATATAAACATTTGTGGGTTACAAGAATGTAAGTTGGCATGCAATCTAGTTAGAGGATTGTAGTGACTTAAATATCTTTATGTTATGCCCATCCATCTCCAATTTCAATACATTTAAAACATGTAAAAATTATTTGAATTAATTAAAAATGGTAGGCCAATGCGATATAATGGAAACTATAAACTTTTAAATAAATGCAGCTTTCCGATTTAAATTAAATAAAAACATAAATTTTATATATATATATATTATATATATATGTATATATATATATATATATTGACCAAGTTAAAAGTCTATTTATCCTGCATTCAAAATGTTGAATATTTTATTTAATTTTTTTTTTCTTGTTTACAGGTCGAACTCTTGAACCAAAGAATGATGGCAGCGTTGGTGGGTCGCTCAAGGAAACTGCTTGTGAGGTTTGTCGTCTTGAGTAATTTGCATGAATTTTGGCTAAATCAAAAATGTGTTGGCCAAGCCTGATTGACCCAAATATCGCAAACGCCAATAACCTATAGCGGTGAAATACACATAATATAACAATTTAAAAAATTTTTATTTTAATGAGGTGTATTTTGGGGTTTTTTTTCATTTATTGAGTGCTATTTACATAGCGCTTTAAGAGGTTGACTGCCAGACCTATTTTATTTTGATGTATTTTCTCGTGTACCAAAACAAGTATACATGTACTGTACAAACATACTTTTTTGAAATGTTATGAAATCACATATCAAAATGGTTTCTAATAAATTGGTGGGAAAATATAAGGGGACAAGTAAACTTGTCGTTGGCAAATGGACAGTACTTTCTATTGCCTCTGCCAAGTGTGAGTTTTCTTGTCCGCTTTTTGCATGGGTTTGTATACAGTATGTTCAGGGGGCGTCCCCCACTATTGCAATTTTTTGTACTGTCGGCAACATAACATAACATAACAAAAACATGTATGCTATTTGTACATTATCGTCTAGGTGTATCTTCCCCAGTCTGTGGCTCTAAAATGTATAACAATGAGTAATAAACGCTAGAATGTTACCCGGATTTGACAAGTATAGTCATCCCTAGCGCCCTCAGCAACACCCAGTAAGAGGAGTATATTCGTTGCTGGCAGCAAACATGTTAACATCAACAAAACAAGCGTAATAACAAAAAGAAAAAACAATTCAAACACATTATGATTCATTTGTTTTGTTTCGTGTGCCTTTGTGGTGTTTAAAATTTATATTTTGAACTTTTAATTGTAATTAGACAAGAATTTTTTTATACCTTGTTTAGCGAACCCGCAGACTGCAAATATTTATGATTTCAAATAAAAATTAAATTTTATTTTTGACCAATTAGCTCACCCGCCGCCACGAAAGAGTGGAAATTTAAAAAAAAAATAAAAGTTTATTTTTATTATGCCCTCCGTGAAATCTCCAAATATAAGATATGTATATTTCTTTCTAATTATATACAAATTTGAAGCATTTAACCATCCTATTTTACATTCTCCAATAAATTTTTTTTTCTCCTCCGTCTGGATGATTTTGACAAAGAAAACAAAATTTTATTTTTATTTTTATTCCGCCCTTCGACGATAGACTTTAAAAATATGAGTACGCGAAACAAGGAATAAAAAAAAAGTCTTGCCATAGGTATGTAAAGACACTAGTTTCTTTTTTACTGTATCTTGAGTATTTTTAATAAATAAAATTGCAAATAATATGTAGGGTCATCTTATTTGTAGATGAAACTGTTTGGCTTAAATTACTTACTGACATGGATTTAGCTATTCATTTTTGATCAAATCTCATTTCAGATTGAGAGCAGAGGGGGTAAGTGCATTCCTGTGAAGTGCGATCACAGCGATCAAAACCAGATTAAAAAACTCTTTGAGCAAGTCAAGTCAGAGCAAAATGGCCGCCTTGATGTTCTGGTAAACAACGCATATTCAGCTGTGACTGTAAGTGTGGTAAAGCTGCTATCCTGACACTGGGGCGTAAGCTGGTTTTATCCTGGTGGGGGGGGGGGGGGTGGAGTGCGAAAATTAAGAATGTGGAAGAGGAAGAGAGGTGTGCGAAAATTGAAAGTGGAACTAAATTTAATTTGTCATTTAATGGTCATTTTTAGTATTTTAACTCACTTAGTGGAACTAATTTGCTGCCATGGGGCTGCATCTGTAATCACCACCCCCCCCCCCCCCCCCCCAGTCTACGCCCATGTGACATACCGTTTTAAAGTCATGAATTAACTACTAGACAAGTTTTCTACTGTATTCTCTTTTGTTAAAGAAAAAAAATATATATAAAAGGGGATACTTCGAGTGTAGGCTAGCTTTAGTCGGGGTGGGGTAGCAAAAATTGAGAATGAGGAACTAAAATTATCTCTCAATGAAAACTTAACCCTTACGCTGCCATCTTCGCATAAATGCAAACACCACACAGTTGGTGTGCATGCTAGTTTCGCATAAATGCAATTAGGCTCACTGTCAGCCGTACACCACCTTCGCATAAATGCGAATTGGTGAAGGTCTTCAAAAAAACGACCATAGAGCGGCAGTTTTAACACTAAACCAAATACTGTAGTGTTTACTGCATATGAAAGCTAATGAATTTCTGCACACTTTGATGTGAAACTTGCTGAGTGTTGTTTTGTTAGAAGTTTGAGTTTTTGCAAGTTGAATATATGATGTTTTGAAATGTTGAGAAACTTTATTCTTCTGTAGTTGTTACAGCTGTGCTGGATAATAAG